ACACGACTGCCAACTGAACCAATCATCACCCCCGAAAAAATCCTAAGCCACCGAGTTTGTGACCCTCGAGGAGCCCGAAGGATTGAGTTCCTGATCCGCTGGAAAGACCGTACACCCACCGAAGACAACTGGGTTCCCCTGGACAGAATCGAAAACCACCCCGTCCTCACCGAGTATCTGCGCAGCCGAAACTTCAAGGATGTACACGCACTTTTGTAAGGAGGACCTCCTTAAGGGGGGGGGTAGTGTAAGGAAAATTCCTTTTCCTTACTTCGCGTCCCCGCTCAGCGCGTACACCACTGTAGCCCCACAGTCAGCACCGTTACCACTCGCAACTCTCGCATCGACAATCCTCCCGCCACCTTCACGCGTCGCACCCCGACCTCACGGCTCGGCGGGTAACCCGCGCTCCGGGCCTCCGCTTCGACACTTTTCCCAACCTCAGTCCCAGACCCGTCACGCAACAACCACAGTCCATTACCGTTACCACTGTAGTTTCGCTATATATTCTTCGCTCATGCCTTCGCTCATTGTATTCTTGCCTGGATAGTGCAATTCTCGTTCGTTCACTCAATTGCACTCGTAACAGTATTAGTCTAGATGGTCAGGCAGGTCGACGCTCGGACGATTGTTCCCTAGGCCACCCATGCTTCAGTTTGCTGCTCGGAGGGAAACTGTAGGTCGACACTTACAAAAAGGGTGGCCTGATTTTGAAAACCTCATTATAGCTTGTTTGTTGACGATTTGTGATGCTGTTTACAGCGGTAGTTTACTGTACTCCTTCCTCAGTCCATCGTCCATTTAAAGCCCAAGACCTGAATTACTCAACGGCAGTCAACTGAGTATTTCTAGGTTCGGCGGGCTGCCAGTTGGAGGTTCGGATGGGTTGAGTGACACGCGAAAAACCAAAACCAGCTTGCGACTGAATACAGTTCGCCACAAACTGTGCACTTGCTGATTGGTTGGAAAAATCAGGCAGGGCCCATCTTCCCAAGTTTGACAGACCTGAGAAGCAACATCCCAGGGAAAGTGTGCACAGTTTGATTAGGGAATTACAAGCACTCAAACAAACATAACAAGTCCTAATTTCCCTTCAGCGAGGCGCGACCTTAGCCTCTATAAATACGAGGAGGAGCCGTTGGGAGCGAATGTCCGCAATGACTGTACCGGAAAAGTGCGATTTTTAGGGTGTGGAGGGCAATGGCGTTACTAAATGCAAGGTCGCACGTGAGTTAGCCTAACACATCAAGGCCTGACCTAGCGGTACTCGAAAAGTGTAGGCTAAAACAAGCGCCCTCGACAACGCCCTCAACACATAGGGAACAGGGCGGACATATCCATCGGTCTGCCCCACATAGCCTTGTTACGCCACCCGTCGGTCCAGCTTAGACTCCCACGCGCTCGAGGCGCTCTCAGCATCAAGCCTCCCGCCCTGCTCGGGAAAGTTTCCTCCCCGCCGATTGCGAGCGCCTGCCTTTCATATAGCGCATGGTGAGAAGCCTCCCGTCGGGCTCATCTCAGCCCCCCGTTGCCCTCATTTTCAGCTTCCCGTCGCCCACATTTCAGCTTCCCGTCGCCCCCATTTCGCGTCCCGTCGCCCTCGTATCCCATATTTCGAGTCGCCTACACTTCCCGAGTCCGGTCGCCCTCAATTCCCTTCCCGAGAACCCACATTACCGGACCCGTCGCCCACAAATCCCTTCCCGTCGCCCCATTTCCCTTCCCGTCGCACTCACTTCCCTTGTCGACGCCCTCGTTTCCCTTCCTGTCGCCCTCATTACCCTTCCCGTCGCACTAATTTCCCTTACCGTCGCACTCATTTCACACCCCGTCGCCCTCGTGTCCCTTCCCGTCGCACTAATTTCCCTTCCCGTCGCACTCATTTCCCTCCCCGTCGCCCACATTTCCCTTCCCGTCGCCCTCGTTTCCCCTCTCGTCGCCCTCATTTCCCCTCTCGTCGCCCACATTTCCCTTCCCGTCGCCCTCATTTCCCCTCTCATCGCCCACATTTCCCTTCCCGTCGCCCTCATTTCCCCTCTCGTCGCCCTCGTTTCCCTCCCCGTCGCCCACATTTCGCTACCTGTCGCTCACAATTCCCTTCATCCTCCCTTCCTCTCATCCGCCCTTCCTCTCGTCCGCCCTTCTCTCACATCCTCTCTCCCTCTCTCCGCCCCTCCTATCGTCCTCATTTCCACTCGTCCTCCCTACCCTTCTTTCGCCACACGCCCTCATCCGCCCTCCCCCTCATCCGCCCTCCCCCTCGTCCGCCCTCCCTCTCATCCACCCTTCTTCTCGTCCTCCCTCCCCCTCATCCGCCCTCCCCCTCAACCGCCCTTCATCTCATCCTCCCTTCTCTCATCCAACCTTCCTCTCATCCCCCCTTCCTCTCATCCTCCTTTCCTCTCATCCTCCTTTCCTCTCATCCGCCCTTCCTCTCATCCGCCCTTCCTCTCATCCGCCCTTCACGCTCTCATCCTCTCTCCTTCTCATCGTCTCTCCCTCTCATCCTCCTTACCCTCGTCCACCCTTCTTCGCGTCCTCCCTCCCCCTCATCCGCCCTCCCCCTCATCCGCCCTTCATCTCATCCTCCATTCCCCTCATCCGCCCTTCATCTCATCCTCCCTTCCCCACATCCGCCCTTCATCTCATCCTCTGTTCCCCTCGTCCTCCCCTCCTCTCATCCTCCTTTCCTCTCATCCTCCTTTCCTGTCATCCTCCCATCCCCACATCCGCCCTTCCTCTCATCCGCCCTTCTCTCTCATCCTCTCTCCTTCTCATTCTCCCATTCTCTCATACTCCCTTTCTCTCATCCTCCCTTCCTCTCCCCTTCCATTCCACTCGTCCCCCCTTCCTCTCATCCAACCTTTCCTCCCATCCTCCTTTCCTCTCATCCGCCCTTCCTCTCATCCACCCTTCACGCTCTCATCCTCTCTCCTCCTCATCGTCTCTCCCTCTCATCCTCCTTTCTCTCATCCACCCTTCTTCAGATCCTCCCTCCATCTCATCCGCCACCCCCCTCATCCGCCCTTCATCTCATCCTCCCTTCCCCACAACCGCCCTTCATCTCATCCTCTGTTCCCCTCGTCATCCCTTCCTCTCATCCCCCCCTCCTCTCATCCTCCTTTCCTCTCATCCACCCTTCCTCTCATCCGCCCTTCCTCTCATCCGCCCTTCCTCTCATCCGCCCTTCTCTTTCCTCCTCTCTCTTCTCATTCTCCCATTCTCTCATACTCCCATTCTCTCATCCTCCCTTCCTCTCCCCTGCCATTCCACCCGTCCCCCCTTCCTCTCATCCAACCTTTCCTCCCATCCTCCTTTCCTCCCATCCTCCTTTCCTCCCATCCGCCCAATACTGGTTCAGTCCTGTTCCCCTCCCTTGCCTGTCCCATCCTCTCTCCTGTCCCACCTTCCTGTCCCCCCCTGCATGTCAGCCAACGGAGAGCATGCTGCATATCTGTGAAGAGAGTGGCCAAGACCTCACACGGGAGGTGAGTCATTGCACTGTCTCCTCTGCATTGCTCATGCTGTCCGTAGTGCACGTTCCGCTCGCCGTGGCTGCTCTGTCCGCACCACATGCACTACACTGAGACACACTCCCAAGTGTATTGTCTGGCCTGATACATGCACTCGGCACCACTTTTTGCAAACTTGTTTCCGTAGTACCTGTCTCCACCTCTCTCCACCTGTCTTGACCCTCCCGCCTCTCTCTATGCTCAGATCCGCAAGGGCAAGGGCAAGCAGCGTTGGACATCAGCCAAGTCACCATCAGCCCCATTCATCACTGCACCTACACGTGTTCACGTGCAACTCTAAGCGTGTGCTTGCCTCGCACTAATCCCGTGCACGTGAGGATGCCGTTTTTTCACAAGTAGTGTAGGCAAATGACGCAACACGCTCCCCCATGGCTAGAAGCTGAGAAGTGAAACATGTCCTCCCCCATCAAATAACATACTTGACTGCACACATAGGGCTTCTTCATTGATCTATCCATCATAGCTGGATGGTCATCCATCCACATGTCGAACTATTGCAGACTGTGTAAAAAGAGGAACACATGTACACAATAAATCGTACCCAATAACCATCCCTCCCTCCCTAACAATCAGTAAATTCCAGACTCCTGCGTGGCCACATTGACAATTGACCTAGCATCGTTTGACCTCATCCCAAAATCAATCTCGTCAGGGATGCTCCATTCCAGGTTGAACCAGTCCACATCGCCTTGACTACATTTTTTGTAACCCATGCCCGTTGGCTCGGGGTAAAGCGAGCCGATCACGACGTGGATTAGCCATGGCAAAGTCACTTGTGCAAATGGATGATTACCTAACAAGGCAGAGTATTGAATGTAGCAACGAAAACGATGGTTCTTTGGCCCCATAGGTTGACCTTGAGAATCCTCTTCCGTGTTTTTCCCCAACCACACCCTCAGAATGCTCGCCACACTAATTCTCTGACTCCCGGGGCCCTCCTCATCCGACAATCCGAGCCAATGTCGCGCCCAAGCGTCAAGCACACGATGCTGCTTGGCATATCGCCCCTCAAACTCAGATATGGACCACCGTTCTTTCGCATGTTGAACCTGCGGGGGCAAGCCCGTTGGCTGCACAACTCTTCGAGCTCGAACCCTGGGAAAGGGACGTGTTGTGCTCGCAGCAACCGAACGAGTATGGGCTGAAAGGGTGCCCGTACTTGCCGTGAACATCGACTCCGGTCCACGTCGCCGACCCCTCTCCTCCTCATCATCCTCGGAACCCTCCTCCCCAACCCTGAATCCAAGCGTCAGCCATCTCCGAGGAGTACGTCTCCATGAAGACATGGCTGATGAGGTGGACTGGTTTAGAGGGTGAGAAAAGGGAACATCAGGCAGAAAACAAGAAGGGAGAGGGAGGGGTTAGGGAGTGAATGGGTTGGGGGGGGGGGGGGGGGGGAGAACTTATCGGATTACGCAGGTCATTGAATTGAGTTGGCTGTGAAGGGGAGGGTGGGCAGTTCAGGAACTAAACAACAGGTCCGGAAGCACCCCACCTGTCAGAGTGGAGCACGGGAGGTGTGGAGAGAGGAGCACCCCACCTGTCAGAGTGGAGCACGGGAGGTGAGGAGAGAGGAGCACCCCACCTGTCAGAGTGGAGCACGGGAGGTGCGGAGAGAGGAGCACCCCACCTGTCAGAGTGGAGCACGGGAGGTGAGGAGAGAGGAGCACCCCACCTGTCAGAGTGGAGCAAGGGAGGTGAGGAGAGAGGAGCACCCTGCCCTGTCAGAGTGGAGCACGGGAGGTGAGGAGAGAGGAGCACCCTGCCCTGTCAGAGTGGAGCACGGGAGGTGAGGAGAGAGGAGCACCCTGCCCTGTCAGAGTGGAGCACAGGAGGTGAGGAGAGAGGAGCACCCTGCCCTTTCAGAGTGGAGCACGGGATGTGAGGAGAGAGGAGCACCCCACCTGTCAGAGTGGAGCACGGGAGGTGAGGAGAGAGGAGTACCCTGCCCTGTCAGAGTGGAGCACGGGAGGTGAGGAGAGAGGAGCACCCCACCTGTCAGAGTGGAGCACGGGAGGTGAGGAGAGAGGAGCACCCTGCCCTGTCAGAGTGGAGCACGGGAGGTGAGGAGAGAGGAGCACCCTGCCCTGTCAGAGTGGAGCACGGGAGGTGAGGAGAGAGGAGCACCCTGCCCTGTCAGAGTGGAGCACGGGAGGTGAGGAGAGAGGAGCACCCTGCCCTATCAGAGTGGAGCACGGGAGGGGAGGAGAGAGGAGCACCCCACCTGTCAGAGCAAAACCCGGGAGGTGAGGAGAGAGGAGCACCCCACCTGTCAGAGTGGAGCACGGGAGGTGAGGAGAGAGGAGCACGCAAGGTGAGGAGAGAGGAACACGCATGGTGAGGAGAGAGGAGCACGCAAGGTGAGGAGAGAGGAGGACGCAAGGTGAGGAGAGAGGGGCACACGCGGGGAGGAGAGAGGAGGACGCAAGGTGAGGAGAGAGGAGCACGCAAGCTGAGGAGAGAGGAGCACGCAAGGGGAGGAGAGAGGAGCACGCATGTTGAGGAGAGAGGAGCACGCAAGGTGAGGAGAGAGGAGGACGCAAGGTGAGGAGAGAGGGGCACGCAAGGTGAGGAGAGAAGAGCACGCAAGGTGAGGAGTGAGGAGCACGCAAGGTGAGGATAGAGGAGGACGCAAAGTGAGAAGAGAGTAGGACGCAGGGTGAGGAGAGTGGAGCACGCAAGGGGAGGAGAGAGGAGCACGCAAGGTGAGGAGAGAGGAGGACGCAAGGTGAGGAGAGAGGGGCACGCGTGGGGAGGCGAGAGGAGCACGCAAGGTGAGGAGAGAGGAGCACGCAAGGTGAGGAGAGAGGCAGTCGTAAGGTGAGGAGAGAGGAGGACGCAAGGTGAGGAGAGAAGAGCACGCAAGGTGAGGTGTGAGGAGCACGCAAGGTGAGGATAGAGGAGGACGCAAGGTGAGAAGCGAGGAGCATGCAAGGTGAGGAGAGAGGAGCACGCAAAGTGAGGAGAGAGGAGGACGCAAGGTGATGAGAGAGGAGGACGCAAGGTGAGGAGAGAAGAGCACGCAAGGTGAGGAATGAGGAGTGTTAACAGGAATGGAGTGTTGGCCCCGCCCTCGCTTGGGCAACGCCGACGACTTGGTCGGATGTACGGGAGTAGCAACCGACCGTTCACAGTGGGAGAGCTGCTCGACAGGCTTCGTCGAGCTGCAGGGGACCGCTGTGGTGTTGCTGTCGACTAGGGAGCTCGACAGCTGCAACTGACTGGTCTGGGCGACGGGTGGGACGTTGACCAGGACCTGCAGTTCGACCGGGAGGTTGACGGAGCAGTCCGTCGAGCTGACAAGTGAGCAGCGGTCGACGAGGGGAGCTCGACGACAACCGCTGATGGCTCTGGTCGACGGAAGGGGTCCGTCGACCAGGGGGTAGCTCGACGGGAGTTGTGGTCGACCAGAGGGACCTGGTGGTCGACCGGAAGCACCTGATGGTCGACCGGGTCGACTGGGTAACCTGCTCGACGAGTTCTGCGGAGGCACGCGAACGTCGTCGAGGTTGCGATGGCACAGGCAACTGCGGGCTGGTATCCCGGAGTCGATATGGCTCGTCAGGCGCAGACAACAGCCGACGAATGCCCAACGAGGCAAGTCGGGCCAATCGTCTGCGCACACCTGCGAGCGTGCACACTGCTGTGTTCTACGGGGCAACGCTGGACAGCCGCTCTGCTGCAGCGTTGGCACGCCGTCGACCTGCTTCGTTGGCAGGTCGCCTTTCTGCAGTGCTGGCGCGGCTCCTCTACGCAACGCTGGCAGGCGGTCGACCGAGCTGTGCTGGCGGTCGACCAGGCTAGCAGCAGGGTTGCTAGGTGCCTGATATAGTCATTGTTGCCATCTCTTGCTGGACTAATTCTCGAATTCCAACTTTGCTAGTAGAAACTCTTGCCAATTTCTCCCGTGAATGTGCAAACACTAAGGAACCAAGCAAAGCTACGATCACCTCTAGTAGTTCGTGCCAACCCCTGTTGTCTAGCTCACTACCGTTGTAGAGTGAATCTCCGCATGGTGCGGTGAGCGTGGATCGAACACGCGACCTTCAGATAGGAGCCGACTTTTGCACCTACTAAGTCGTTCGTAGGCCGGCAGCAGCGATAGTCGCCATGGTCGACCCCGTAGTTGATGCGGGTGTAGCAGACACCCTGGAGGCACGTTTGGCTGACGCGAGGAGACGCCACGCGGATGGCGAGTACGGGACGATCCCCTTGGTGATCGCCGAGTTGGGCATCCGGTCGCAGTGGGCGACGGAACACCCTTCGCGTCCTACTTCTCCTCGACCGGTGCGCAACGAAGGTGGCGTCGACGACGAGGTCGACGGTGGTGCACGAGTCAGCGGCAGCGAAGGCACGAGGCAGAGAGGAGTGATCAAGGTCGACGGTGGTGTCAACGGAATCCAGGCGCGAGTGCAGCGGTCGACGACTGCTGCAGGGAGCTCGCGTGCCGACGTCGATGTTCGACGCCGTTCTCCTCCACGAAGGGGTGGAGGGCTCTCATTGACGACACACGTGACGGCGGGCGGGATTGCACCGGCGTATGGCTACTTCAAGTTCTCGCCGGACCGGATCGCCGTCGCACCGCTGCAAGGTCGACGGGACCTCATCACCTAGAGGGAGTCCATTGAACCTCAGCTAGAGGTCGCCGGGCTGAAGGGAGTCGCCGATGGCACCGTGCCCTTTCCGCCCGAGGAGGATGTCGAGCTACGCGGGGAGTTTCGTTCTGCTCACATGCTCACCTTCATGGTCATCTCGAGGTGCTGCTCGCCAGTGGTGCAGCTAGCGCTCAGGAGCTGTCGAGAGCGACGGGATGCTGGTCACCAGGCATGGCACTTCATCATGTCGACGTACCAGGCTAGGGACGACGTGTACATCGGACAGCTAGAGGAGAAGATGACTCACATTCGAATGGGCGAGCAGGAGTCGGCGACGGACTACTGCAACCGAGCTCAACGGATCCTAGCTGAGATAAGGATGGCGGGCGCCGAATACTCGACGGCGTCCTACATCACCCACGTCCTCAAGGGCCTGACGCGCAGCTACAACCTCATGAAGAGGTTTACGATGGTGCCCGGCACACGTGAGTCCCTCGACGAGGACTCCCTTACCAGCTACATCCTTCAGGATGAGGCGATGCAGGAGGCAGAGCAGGCCACGGAGTTCCTTCCGCAGGCGAGTTACGCTGCACCGACGAAGCCGAATAGTCAGCAGGAGCAGCGCAGGAAGCCAGGCGGAGGTGGTAGCGGAGGTGGGCGGTCGACGAAGGACGTCGACGAGAAGAGGTCGACGCGGGACAAGGGTCGACGAGGTGGTGGTCGACGGTGGGAGTGCTGGATCTGCGGCGACCCCGACGATCTCTCCTTCGAGTGCCCCGACCGCGATGACAGCGACGAGGACGACATTAAGGAAGGCCGCGGTCGATCGGCCATTCGTGGCCCCCGTCGAGTTGAGAAGCCGCGCAAGGAGAAGCAAGCGTCGAAGAAGACGTCCTCGACGAAGGACGTCGACAGCTCCAGCGGCAAGAGCCGAGGCGACGGGGAGGCATCGTGCTCGATAGTCGGCGTGGTGGAGCCGACGGTCTCGCTAGCACCGGAGGCTGGCAAGGACTTCCAGGCGGTGGCAGCAGCTGTGCAGGCCAACCCGATGGCGGTGCTGCTCGACAGCGGGTGCTCCCACCACCTGATGGGGACGAAGTCGGTCTTCGTCGACATGGGGCCGAGCGACGGAGTGAAGCACGTGCGTGGGTTCAACGGGGCATTACAGTCTGTCGAGGGTCGTGGAACTGTCGCTCTGCAAGGGGAGGCCGGGAAGCGGGTGCTCATCCCCGACGTGCTCTACGTTCCGGGTGTTCAGGCGAACCTGCTGTCAGCCGGCCAACTGAAGGAGAGCGGAGTGCAGCTGCAGGGTGACGGCGACGAGATGCTGCTCGTTGCTACGACCGGGGAGGTGCTCGGTCGAGCACGCTACACCGGACGAGTCCTCTGCACCGACCTTCGCCCCTGCTCGACACAGTCACCGTCGACCGAGGTGGTGGCTCTGCGGACGATCGTCTCGGCGTCAAAGGCGACCCCTGATCGGCTGCATGCGAGGCTCGCGCACGTCGGCGTCGACACGATCAAGAGCTCGGCAAAGCATGGAGTTGTTGTTGGGCTCGACATCACGCCGTCGACCAGAGCAGACCCGCCGTGTGTCTCGTGCGTCGGAGGAAAGCTGGCACGGCACACCTTCCCTGCCAAGGGCTCGGACGCAGCGGAGGCGCTGGCTGTCGTGCACATTGACTTGTGCGGGCCATTTTGAGTAGCTGCCAAGGATGGCAGCCTGTACTTCCTGCTGCTGAAGGATCGCCATACTCGATTTGTATGGGCAATGCCGGTCGCTCGGAAGAGCGACGTGCTGCGGGAATTCCAACGGTGGCTGGTGCTGGTGGAACGGCAGACGAAGAAGTCGGTGCTGTCGCTTCGCTCCGATCGAGGAGGGGAGTTCCTCGGGAAGGCGTTCACCGACTTCGTCAACGGGAAGGGCATCGTCCACGACCTGACGTGCCCCTACACTCCGCAGCAGAATGGCATGGCTGAGCGGGAGATGCGCACGGTCGTCGAGTCCGTGCAGACGATGTTGCTGCACATGGGCGTGCAGCACCACTGGTGGCACCTTGCTTTACGACAAGCTGTCTGGGTGCGCAACTGCTTGGAGCGGTCGACGACGCCGCCGGGGACGACTCCGTACCAGCTGCTGACCGGGCAGAAGCCCGACCTTACGCTGGCGCGGGTGTGGGGCTGCATGGTGCAGTTCATGGTTCCCGAGCAGCAACGCGGTGGGAAGCTGGCGCCGAAGGCTCGCTGGGGACTTCACCTGGGTGTGTCGCCAGAGAGCAAGGGCTTGGACGTGCTCGACCTGACCGACAACACGGTGGTCACGTCGGTCGAGGTGATCTTCTACGAGACGCTGTCGCTGGAGGTGTGGAAGGCGAAGTATGGGCCGGCGTCGAAGCGGACGCAGGCGCACCCGCCAACGGATACATCGACAGCGACGGCTCCGTTGCTCGCCGAAGTCGACGAACCCGGTCATGAGGATGTTGTGGAGGTTCTTTCCACTCCCCCTGTCTTTGCTCCTCCGTTCCCTGTCGCAGATCGGCCTGGGTCGGCACCTGTGTCGCCCACCGACGATGAGGGGAGCCTTGAGGCGTCGCCTGTGGCACCGGCCCATGGCATCGCCGGCGGTCGACAGGGTGCCAAGCTCGTCGACCAAGATGGCAAGCCGACGATGACAGGGGAGCACCAGACAGGGGAGCCGGTCGAACAGGAGGCAACGGCAGGGGTACACTCGACAGGGAAGCAGCAGCCGGAGCGGTCGACAGGAGAGTTGTCGAAGGCAGCAGCAGACGAACAGCCGGTCGAAGGGTCGAAGCAGCTGGTCGATGACGTTCTCGTCGACGAGAAAGGGGAGCAGTCGGCGGATGAGGAGTCCACCGACAGCGATGTAATGGAAGTGCCGATCACGAAGCCCGAGCTGCGACGCACAGGTCGAGCCCGACGGCCGCCGGAGCGGTTGAGCTTCCACGCCTGCCTACCGCCAGCTGCCTTCACCACGGTGTACGACGAGGTCGACGACGACCTACTGTACGATGATGCCGAGGAGGATGAAGACCTGCCGGAGCTCGACCCTGACGTGCATGCCGACCCCGAACACCGCTGGGACATCGCCACGATGACGGTGAAGGAGGCGTTGTCGAGCTGGAAGGGCGAGGCGGTGAAGGCCGCAATGGAAGAAGAAATCCGTAGCCTCATCGCTATGGGGACTTGGGAGCTGGTCGAACGCCCACGCGGGGTGAACATCATGAAGAACCGATAGGTGCTGACGACCAAGTACCGCATCGACGACACCGTCGAGCGCGAGAAGGCGAGGCTAGTCGTAAAGGGCTTCACGCAGGTGTACGGCGCCGACTACGACGAGACGTACTCACCGGTGAGCAGCTACGTCACACTGAGGATCTTCCTCAGCATCGTCGCCGTCCTTGATCTCAACCTGATGCAGCTCGACATGAAGAACGCTTTCCTACAGAGCAAGCTTGACAGGGTGCTCTACATGTACCAGCCGGACTACTTCAACGACGGGACCGGCCGGGTGTGTAAGCTGCTGAAGAGCCTCTACGGGCTGAAGCAGTCGCCGCTGCTGTGGTACAGGGCTCTCGACAGTGTGCTGCTGGGCGCTGGCTGGAAGAAGAGCCAGGTCGACGAGGCGCTCTACTTCAAGGCCAGCGATGACGGAGTGACCTGCTGGGTGCTGGTCTACGTCGACGACCTGCTTGCCGCTGGCAGCAGCACCGCGATGCTGAAGGAGCTGAAGGAGGTGCTGGAGACCACCTTCGAGCTACGTGAGATCTCGCCGGTGGTGAAGTACCTTGGGCTGGAGATCGTGCGCGACAGGCCGGCCAGGAAGTTGTGGCTGCACCAGCAGGGCTACGCCAACAAGCTACACAGGCACTTCATCGACGAAGAGCAGGGCGGTCCAGTCCCGAAGACACCGGTCTCGGTCGACGCCTACGCTCAGCTGACGTTCGATGACGAGGAGGCTCAGGAGCGCGAAGAGGAGGAGTACCGGCAGAAGGTCGGCTTGCTGTAGTTCGCGGCGACGACGACAAGGCCGGACATCGCGTTTGCCTGCAGCAAGCTGGGAAGTGGCCTCACGGTGAGGAGCGACCAGCATTGGCGCGAGGTCGACCGCTGCCTCGCCTACCTCGCCGACACCCGCGATACCGCCTTGGAGTTTGGCGGTGGACCAGAATCATTGGAGCTGATCGGCTACGTCGATGCCGATGACGCGGGCGACAAGCAGAACCGGACGAGCACGGGAGGCTACGTGTTCGTCTACGGTGGGGCCGCAGTCTCCTGGTCGAGTTCGCGCATCAAGTGCGCGACATTGTCATCCACCGAGTCGGAGTACGTGGCGGCCACGGATGCTGGCAAGGAGGGGCGTCGACTCCGCTTCCTCCTTGCGGAATTCAAGCTCCTCGACGCTGGGAAGCCGACCATCCTCCGCGTCGACAACAAGTCGGCAATCACGGTCGCTGAGGGCTTGGGGCTGACGGGCAACCTCAAGCACATGGAGCGACGCTACGCCTGGCTGCAACACATGGTGAGGCGCGGGAAATTTGTGCTGAAGTACATCCCGACCACCGAGCAGCCGGCGGACTTCTTGACGAAGGCGCTGCATTTTCCGGCTTTCAACCGGTGCTCGGTCGCCATTGGCCAAGTTCGTCTGGCCGACGTCGGCGACGGCGACGATGAGGTGCAGCAGTAGGTGCCGTGCCCTTCTGCATGGCTGGTGCGGTGACGGCGTGTTGTGTGTGGGGTGCACGCCGAGGATGAGTTTTCTCCGTGGAGTACTGCCATGTGGGCTGGAGGCCCAAGCGTGAGCGCGGCAGGGGAGTGTTAACAGGAATGGAGTGTTGGCCCCGCCCTCGCTTGGGCAACGCCGACGACTTGGTCGGATGTACGGGAGTAGCAACCGACCGTTCACAGTGGGAGAGCTGTGAAAATAAGGTGTAGAAGAAGGCGCCATAGCTAGGAAAGCCCTAGCTAGGCAAGAAACAGTTTAGGCAAAGAGAGGATGTTCACTAGCAGGAATGAGGATACAAATAGCAAACCCTAGAAGGGTTGTACTCGCTATAGAGCACCCCACTACAGGCTAGAGCATTACATTATGACACACCCCCATAGCCAAAGTGGGGTGTAATCAGCAGAGCAAGCAAAGCAGAACAAGCTCAGGGTGGATCACAATGTCACCACACATTCTGAGCACAAGTTCAAGAAGCAACAGTTTAAAGTTCACAAGTGTAAGCAAAGCTAGAGGCTATTGCAGAGGGCAAGTGAGGAGGAGGAGGCGAGACTGTAAGAGGAGAGGAGATAGGAGGCGACGACTGAAGCTGCAGACACACGGGCAACAGGAGGCACACTGGCACAATGGCTACCGGAACAACGCTCCGGACTACTGGAGTAACTGGCCCCGCGGCTAAAAGTAGCGGCAGACGAGCAACGGACCCACGGGCGACTGGCACAGGTGGCTGCGACTGGGCTACCGGAGCAACTCCCCGGAATACAGGTGCTGCTGGCGACACGACGGCAACCTCCGTTCAACTTCCTCAAACAGTCCCACCCCCCCTGACACACACCCCCTGCTTCACCCCTAGCTCCACTCCCCCTTCACCCCCCTTAGTACCACTCCTTCGGCTCCCACACACCCACCCCCCTGAGCGGCAGCTGCAGTAGCGGGAGACGGAGGAGGAGGAGCAGGGGACGCCGCTGAGAAACTGCACCCCCATACCCCACACGCTCCACCCCCAAACCCTAATGCAGGAGCACAAGTAGTAGCAGGGGTGGGGCGCCATTAGAGGCACGGGGGACAGCGGGCAGTGCAGGGGCAGTGAAGAACGGGCTGCCCACGGGCCTGGCACAGCCGCCCGAACCGCGCGCAGGCGGCCCTAGCCGCGCGCGGGCCTAGCGCAGCCCGTACGGGCCGTGTCCGGGCCTGGCGCAGCCCTTATGGGCCGCGTGCAGCCTGTACGGGCCGCGCGCAGGCCACGACGGGCGACGGGGGGCGACGCGCGGGTCCCCGTCGCCCGTCGCAGCGCCTCCTGGGGGCGACGCGCCGAGTGACGGGGCAGAAACCCGTCGCGCGCCTCGGGGCGCACGGCGGGCAGAAAACCGCCGCGCGCCTCGGGGCGCACGGCGGGCAGAAAACAGCCGTGCGCCTCAGGGCGCACAGCAGGCTGAAAACCCTAATTTCGACGCCGCGCACCACGGGGCGCGCGGCGGACAGGGAGTAGCAGTAGCAGCGGAAGCAGTGAGGTGGGGCCCACAGGCCAGGAGCATATCGCTCTGCTACCATGTGAAAATAAGGTGTAGAAGAAGGCGCCATAGCTAGGAAAGCCCTAGCTAGGCAAGAAACAGTTTAGGCAAAGAGAGGATGTTCACCAGCAGAAATGAGGATACAAATAGCAAACCCTAGAAGGGTTGTACTCGCTATAGAGCACCCCACTACAGGCTAGAGCATTACATTCTGACAAGAGCTGCTCGACATGCTTCGTCGAGCTGCAGGGGACCGCTGTGGTGTTGCTGTCGACTAGGGAGCTCGACAGCTGCAACTGACTGGTCTGGGCGATGGGTGGGACGTCGACCAGGACCTGCAGTTCGACCGGGAGGTCGACGGAGCAGTCCGCCGAGCTGACAAGTGAGCAGCGGTCGACGAGGGGAGCTCGGCGACAACCGTTGATGGCTCTGGTCGACGGAAGGGGTCCGTCGACCAGGGGGTAGCTCGACAGGAGTTGTGGTCGACCAGAGGGACCTGGTGGTCGACCGGAAGCACCTGGTGGTCGACCGGGTCGACTGGGTAACCTGCTCGACGAGTTCTGCGGAGGCACGCGAACGTCGTCGAGGTTGCGATGGCGAAGGCGACTGCGGGCTGGTATCCCGGAGTCGATATGGCTCGTCAGGCGCAGACAACAGCCGACGAATGCCCAACGAGGCAAGTCGGGCCAATCGTCTGCGCACACCTTCGAGCGTGCACACTGCTGTGTTCTACGGGGCAACGCTGGACAGCCGCTCTGCTGCAGCGTTGGCACGCCGTCGACCTGCTCCGTTGGCAGGTCGCCTTTCTGCAGTGCTGGCGCGGCTCCTCTACGCAACGCTGGCAGGCGGTCGACCGAGCTGTGCTGGCGGTCGACCAGGCTAGCAGCAGGGTTGCTAGGTGCCTGATGTAGTCATTGTTGCCATCTCTTGTTGGACTAATTCTCGAATTCCAACTTTGCTAGTAGAAACTCTTGCCAATTTCTCTCGTGAATGTGCAAACACTAATGAACCAAGCAAAGCTACGATCACCTCTAGTAGTTCGTGCCAACCCCTGTTGTCTAGCTCACTACCGTTGTAGAGTGAATCTCCGCAAGGAGCACGCAAGGTGAGGATAGAGGAGGACGCAAGGGGAGGAGAGAGGAGCACGCAAGGTGAGGCGAGAGGAGCACGCAAGGTGAGGAGAGAGGAGCTTCGCAAGGTGAGGAGAGAGGAGCACGCAAGGTGAATGGAGGACGTGCGGGGAGGCAAGAGGAGCGCGCGCGGGGCGGCGATAGGATGCCGCGCAGGAGGCGAGAAGAGCGCACGCGGGAGGCGAGAGGATGGCGCACGGGCTTACGAGAAAGGAGGGCGCGCAGGGAGGAGAAACGTGGGCGTGTGCACGGGCTTCCCGAGTGAGGAAACGTCGGGGCCCCTGTCAGGATAGTGGGGAGTGGTGGGGACACGCATACGTCGAAAGTGGGTGGTCGCGGAGTGGTGAACGCAACCGTCGCAATGAGGCACGACGACGTTTCAGGATGGATAGGGGGAGAGGGTGAGGAGCACGCGCAGGGAGGCGAGAGGAGCACGCAAGGTGAGGAGAGAGGAGCACGCGCGGGGAGGCGAGAGGAGCACGCAGGGTGAGGAGAGAGGAGCACGCATGGGAAGGCGAGAGAAGCAAGCAACGTGAGGAGAGAAGAGCACGCGCGGGGAGGCGATAGATTACGCAAGGCATGGAGAGAGGCGCACGCGCGCGGTGGCGCGGTCACGCCGAAAGATGAGGAGAGAAGAGCACACGCGGGGAGGCGAGTGGAGCACGCAAGGTGAGGCGAGAGAAGGATGCGCGGGGAGGCAAGAGCCGCGCGCGCGGGGGGGGGGTCGAGGAGCACGCGAGGGGAGGCGAGAGTAGCACGCGCGGGGAGGCGAGAGAAGCACGCGTGGGGCAGGCGAGAGGAGGACGCGCAACGAGGTGAGAGGAGGCCGCGCGGGGAGGCAAGAGATTCGCGCGCTATGAAGGCGAGAGGAGCACGCGAGGGGAGGCGAGAGGAGCACGCGCGGGATGGTGAGAGGAGGCCGCGCGGGGAGGCAAGAAAAGCGCGCGCGGGGAGGCGAGAAGAGTGTGCGCGGGGTGGCGAGAGGATGCCGCGCGGGCTTACCAGAAAGGAGCGCGCGCAGGGAGGAGACCCGTGGGGGTGTGCACGGGCTTTCCGAGTGAGAAAACGTGTCAGGATAGAGTGGTGGAGACACGACTACGTCGAAAGTGGGTGGTGGCGGAGTGGTTCGCGAAGTAATGCCAGGGGGCACGGCGACGACCACGAGGAAGCGATGGGAGGGGATAGGGGTAAAGGCGATGGGAGGGCAATGGCAACGGGGACCACGGGGGAAGCGAGGCTGACGGTGTGTGGAGGGGGAGGACGATGTGAGGGGATAGCAAGGTTCACATTTTGAGACGGAAAGGAGCAACGTCTCGTAATATGCGCTTCAAGCCTTTCACGCTTGGGCCGTCGCAATAACAACTCTCGCGGAGCAACGGGGTTGAATGTAGGAATTTGCTACGGGCAAAAGCTTAGAGTCTCGAGTAGTAGCCGCACAGCCTTTCCTGAATTACGATTTTCAAGCAAACTGTGCACAGGCAGTTCCCTTATCACTTGGGCAAAGGGTGGTTGGGACTGTCGCCAAGTAGACGCGTTCTGATATACGACGCAGTCCTTATGGGATGCGACGCCTGTCTGGTAACCATCCTGGCTCGGGAGGTCAACTTTGGGCTCGGAAGGCAAACTGTGCAGAGTTTGCCTTTTTTAGTTTGTAATTCAGGTCTTGGGCTTTAATATTGCCGCCCATACACAAGTGGGAATCTGCAGGCTCTAACTTGTACACCCTGTTTCTCACTACACTGAACTGTGCTGAACTGATGGAAAACCTGGTTACCTTCGATTTGTCTGATTGAACCATTCCTAGACTTAATCTAACCACCGTTAACCGTGCTTTTTCCATCTTGACTTCACTAAAACCGAATTCACAATGGCGAGAAAGAGGGTGTAGGCCTGACGCCACGGAAGTACGACCTAAAGACCCACCTGATTATTTTTTCAATGCCCACATTGTAGAGAATGTTTCTGATTTTAGTCTCAACTTGTCGCTCCTTTTCTCTCTCAGAGCGGAAACACTGACTGAAAGGGTAGAAAATGTCAAGATTGCACTTCGGCGCTTACGGTAGGTTCATTCCCTAGAATATTCTCGTTTTCTTGGGGGTAGTACAGTACAATATACAGTGTGTAAGCGGCAAGACTCTGCGGGACTGGATGCACTGCACGCGAAATCTTTTAGCATTCCCTAGGCCTGTGGTTGGCGGATTCCCTCCTCCTGCCAGCTTGACTGCTCTGCTGTCCCTCACCCAACAGACACCACACGTCAGAATGGGACGTCATTGAAACGTGGCTGGGTGGGGATGGCCCATCTGGCATCACGTGAGACGTCCCCCAATTTCCTTCTATCTTTCAGAGCTGGGCAATAAAAGGGCTTCAAATCCCCGCAGATACTGGAAGGAGTTCAGTCGGGTCATGATATGAAGGTAACCATCCGACGCTTAACTGTTTTTTTGGGTATTTCTAGGCCACAGCTCTACCCACTTGAAGTGGATTCCAAAACAGACAATAAATACGGGGGTTTCTGAGCCATTTCCCGAGTTCTCCAGACGCAATTGCGTACAGTACAGAATGGCAACTTGCATTACTGAGCCACTGCCATTCCATCTGCCCCCAATTCCCGTCCCGAGCAACCCAGATTCCAAAAAAAAAATGAACTTCAGGACTAGTTCAAACAACTTTTGTTCCAGTTCGTTTCGCTTTCCCCGTCCCCTTTTCTCCTCACATCCCGCTCTGTCACATGCTCTCATGAGTCATGACTTGTGCTACCTGTATTACGAAATCTTGAAATATGACATTTCCACAACCTGTATTTTTCACACCTCACTCACAACAAAAGCTTGGTTATGAGCTTTGCATGAGCTTAGAGCTCATGGCAAGAGCTGGCATCCAGTGGAGGAGGCCGAGATTCAATTTCCCAATTCAATTCCTCAGACCAGCCAGCAGGAAAAGCACAACAATAAGGTGGCGCTGGCCTGAGTTAAGCGGTGTATTTAGCGAGTCAACGTTGATGCAACTGAGAATTCTTCTAGCGATGATGAGGTTACAGCTAGCGAATCCAATACTGGACGAAACAAGCCTTAGCCCTCCTAATACCTTGGCATAACGGCTAAGTTTATGATCTGTCAGCGTGATAGTACTCTGTGACACAGGCAGATCCGTTCACCATCGACGTCACTGACTTGCATTTTGCATCTCAATATAGCTGTCCCGCATGTGAATCCTCTCTGGCTATTCGGAAAAGTCTATCACCGTCAAAGTGAGGCTGTATGCAGTCAACCAGCAAATGACATCACCCCCTTTCTTCCGGGTTTCCATCTTGCCGCTTCACGCATGAGCGACGTCACGTCACGCACAAGGGATGGCCGACCGGGTCGGTGCTGGCTTGGGACCGGCGGTGGACTCGCACTACCCCGGAAATGGATCTGCGCCGAGAATGTGATTTCCTAGTCAGGTCTCAACTGATGCACAGCGGGAGATGCTTATACTTGAAAAAAAATAAAGATGCCGTAATTTAGTAAATGCAACGCGCCGCAAAAGCATCTGGTGGGTGCTGCTGTTGCTGATAAAAAAGCTCAGGGAAGACTGGTCTCAGAATTCAGTTTAATACAGTAGTTGTCCGGAACTGTGATGCACAGGAGCTACTCATGAGAGTTACGCAAAAGACTGAAAAGTTTCCGTGACCGACTGGGTGTTTCTGATTTTCTTCACATCCTTTTTTTCTTCATCTTCTTACTAAGAAGCTTGAACTCTCCAGGGCAATAGAGGTCTTCAAGCCGCTTTCAGTCTCCATTTCCGAAGAAGAAACTGCCATTCTTACAGCAGTATCTTACAGCAGCATGAGCGCATCAGCTGGAAAAACCAATCTTGACAGAGGTGACTCAGAGAAGCAAGGTGATGATGATTCTGATGATTCTGGAGTCGGACTCCAGCTCGGGGGAGCTGCCCAGGAGATCGAGAATCCGACTCTCAGTATAAGCCATCCTGAGGCGTCCAGGCTACTACTACTACCTTCTCATGACGTCCCTTCAGGCTTCTTGAAGCTCGGTTTCAAATCATCTTCCGGATCCAGGTTCCAGTTCCGGAGTCGTCTCAGCGAAGAGCATGTGAGAGAGAGCCAGCCTGAGATTGCTGCTGATAAACGTCGTCATCAAGTTGATGGTTTTACGCTGCACGCCATCATGTCATCGTCTGCTCCCAGAACGGCCGTATCGCCACACGATTCGCCGACCGCAGCAGCGACAGCAGCAGCAGCAGCAGCAGCAGCAGCAGCAGCAGCAGCAGCAGCAGCAGCAGCAGCAGCAGCAGCAGCAGCAGCAGCAGCAGCAGCAGCAGCAGCAGCAGCAGCAGCAGCAGCAGCAGCAGCAGCAGCAGCAGCAGCAGCAGCAGCAGCAGCAGCAGCAGCAGCAGCAGCAGCAGCAGCAGCAGCAGCAGCAGCAGCAGCAGCAGCAGCAGCAGCAGCAGCAGCAGAAGTAGCAGAAAGAGCAGCAGCAGCACCAGCTGCAGCACAAGCAGCAACAACACCCCTTACATTTGCTACCACTGTGGGCTTAACAGGTGGTCTTACTCGATCGGCTCTTAACGTTGCTGGTTTGGGAGAATCATCGAGGTATATGGCAACAGCAGCAGAAGCAACAGGGTCTGTTATGAATGTTTCAGTTCGATCTTTGTCTGCTCAGCAGGCTGCTATGGCTGGTTCCAGTGGCCTCAGACCAGCTATCAATCTTGATGCTGTGGTGGATTCAGCTGATGATGACCGAGCAGCTGCCACTGCAGCAGGAGCAACAGGGTCTGTCTCAGGTCGGTCTTTGACTGCTGCTATGGCTGGTTCTAGTGGACTCAGACCAGCTATCAATCTTGATGCTGTGGTGGATTCAGCTGATGATGACCGAGCAGCGGCCGCAGCGGCAGTTGCTGCGTTTTCTGAAGCGCAGGCGGAGTCGCTTCGTCTCATGGCGTCCTTCTGCTCTATCATCCCCAGCCCCACGCCGCTTCAGACACAGCATCAGTCACCGCAGCAGCAGCAGCGCCTATCACAGCAGCATCAACCTTCAACCCTCTACAGTTCCCTTTTTCCAAGCCCTGACACAAACCCCCTCACTCCGAGTGCTACTGTAATATCGCCAAGTCCCTTGGAAGCAGGTAATTCCACTCCAGGCATGAACAGTCGTCAGAACCAGCAAATACGCACTGACCAGTGGCAAGCACGACGACAGACTCAACCCTCGGGAACAGCACTTGGCAGTTTTGGAAACAGCAGTGTAAGCATGCTACCTGCTGGGTTATCAACACCAGAGATTCCACCAGCAGCAGCGGCACTCGGCGGTTCTGGCGGCAGCAGTCGTAACATGTTGTACGTCAAGCAGTCAACACTGCAGGAGCCAACCCCAGGAGCAGCTCTTGACACTTCCGGCAACAGCAGTGGTAACCTGGTAACCGCCGAGCCTTCAACAAGACAGCCAATCTTTTATTGGGGATCGCCTCCTGGGCAGTCGGGATCTAGTTGGGAGACTGTTGCTGCTGCTGTGGGGGAGTTGGGAAGGGTTTCAGGTAGAGTGTCAGGTGGACCTTCAGGTAGAGGTTCAGGTGGTTTTTCAGGTCGGCCAGCAGGTATTCCTGTAGCTGGAACCTCAGGTGGGCCGCCAGGTTATCCCACAGGCGGTCCTTCAAATGGTCTCTCAGGTGCACCCTCAGGTGGGCCCCCAGGTTTTTCCTCAGTTCATCCATCAGGTAATGTCCCAGGCTGTCCCTCAGGTGGCCCTCCAGGTGGAATCTCCGGCAATCCCTCAGGTGAACCTCTAAGTGGTTCATCAGCTGGACCTTCAGGTGGTTTTTCAGATATACCGTCAGGTGGTCCCTCAGGTACCGGTACTAGAGGTGCCACCATGATGGTGGACCTGAACGAGCCTCCAACTGCTTTCAGCTTCCAGGGACCCACCTTCCAGGAGCCAGCATTTCAGGCTGATCAGATTTTCACAAACCCAGCCTCCTTTCCATCTAATTCCCAAGCTATTCAAGGTACCCGAGCCACAGAAGTTACCCAAGCCATTGAAATTCCCCAAGCTACCTACTCACTAGCACCATCATCGACATCACTTGTTATTCCTACGCACTCTTTTGCTGCAGCTCCCTGGGCAGCTGTTCCCCCAGCAGCGGCGGGGCGCTCTTTGTGCCCTGTGTCCCCCCGGCCCATGTCAGCCCTGCTCCCACCGGCGGCTGTCTCACCCACCAGGCCATTAGCTGCAGCACCATCAGCACTGGCAGCAGCGTCAGTCGCAGCACCACTAGCACGACCATCAGCACTAGCAGCAGCAGCAGCAGCAGCAGCAGCAGCAGCAGCAGCAGCAGCAGCAGCAGCAGCAGCAGCAGCAGCAGCAGCAGCAGCAGCAGCAGCAGCAGCAGCAGCAGCAGCAGCAGCAGCAGCAGCAGCAGTAGCAGCGCCAGCAGCAGCACCATCAGCACCGTCAGCAGCATCAGGGCGGTCAGCATATCCTTTATCCCGGCAAGTGTCAGCGCCGTTACCTCCAGTAGCTGTGTCACCCACCGGGCGTTTAGTAGGACCACAAGTAGCACCAGCAGCACCAGGGCGGTTGTCATGTCCTTTATCCCGGCCCGCGTCGGCGCCACTACCACCCCCAGCTGTCTCGCCAACCGGCCGATTAGTAGCAGCACCATCAGACGCAGCACCATCAGCAGCAGCCGCTTCAGCAGCAGCCGCATCAGTAGCATCAGCAGCACCAGCAGCAGCGGCACCATCAGCAGCACCAGCATCAGCAGCACCAGCATCAGCAGCACCATCACTCCCCCCATCACCCCCAGGAAGCAGCCCCTTGGGAAGAAAACGAAGCTGGAAAGAATACTCCCTCTTCAACGTTTCAAGGCTCGAAAGCTTCCGTCCCACATTTTCCGCACAAGCCGCTACCACCAACACCTTCAGCAGAAGCAGCACCAATCCTCGGTTCTCAGCTTCCCTTCACCCCATCCCTGTCACCACCGGAAGCAGGATGGTTGCCTCTCTGAGTGCCCCTCTGCTGGAAGAGAGGACCATTGCAGCTGTGACTGCCGCTTTTGCCGCCTCTGCTTCTCTTGCGACAGCTGATGCGTCTCCTGCTACAGCCGTCGCCGCTGCTGCTCATGCTACAGCCGCGTCTGCTGCGCATGCCACAGCTGCTGCTACTGCTCGTACTACAGCTGCGGCAGTTCCCAGGATTAGCGCCATGTGCGGACCCACTGCTGCTGCTGCCGGTGCTGCTCCTGCTGCTGCATCTCCTGCCACTAATACTTCTTTGACTTCTGCCAGTGCTGCATCTCCTTCTTCCACCCATCTTACTGACGCCTCCCTTGCTGCAGGAGTTCTTATCTCTGCTGCCATCTCGCGTGCTCTATTCTCTGTTGCTGCTGCTCCTGCTGCTTCTGCCGCTGCTGTTCCTGCTGCTCCTGCTGTTGCATCTCCAGCCGCGAACGCTTTCCAAGCCTCCGCCAATGCTGCTTCTCCTGCTGCTGCGTCTCCTGCTGCTGCTTCTCCTGCTGTTGCGTCTCCTGCTGCTGCTTTTCCTGCTGCTGCTGCCGCCGCAGCTGCTACTGCCGCTTCCCTGGCTGCCGTTGCGTCTGCAGAGACGCTGAATCCTGCCGCTGAGCTTTTGCTCCGATTTTCGAGGCAAAGTGTTGAGCTTCCAAGCACAGTAACTGCGCCTGTGGATGCTGCTCCTGTACCCGCTGCTACCACTGCTGTTTCTGCTGTTTCTGCTGCTGCTGCTACCGCTGCTGCCGCTGTTGCTGCTGCTGCTCCATCTCCAGTTGCTCCATCTGCGTCTTCTCCAGCCTGGGCACCGCAAACTGCAATGACCACTCCTCTGGTAACATCCGTCAGCCTCCCAGCGATAGGCGCCACAGATCACATAGGATCCGCGCATTCTGCGCACTCCCCTCCCCTGTCCTCCTGCCTGCTGGCCTCCCGTGCGTTCGACGAAGTGACTCCCCAGCCAACGATAGGAGCCATAGATAACATAGATTCCACGCGCTCTGCGCACTCCCCTCCCCTATCCTCCCGCCCGCTCTCCACCCGTGCATTTGAAGAAGTGACCCCCCAACAACTCATTACGGAGTTGGAGGCTTGGGATGTTGGGGTGTGGAGGGAGGGTCTACTGATTGAACAGGAACAGCAGCAGCGGCGGCAGCAGCAGCAATTGCAGCAGCAGCAGCAGCAGCAGCAGCAGCAGCAGCAGCAGCAGCAGCAGCAGCAGCAGCAGCAGCAGCAGCAGCAGCAGCAGCAGCAGCAGCAGCAGCAGCAGCAGCAGCAGCAGCAGCAGCAGCAGCGGCGGCAGCAGCAGCAGCGGCAGCAGCAATGGCAGCAGCAGCAGCATCAGGCTAACCTAGGGGCTGGACTTACAGGAAGAGGGCTAGGGAGGAGCAGAAGCCAGGGCCATGGCTCTTCCAGGACGCAAGTCTTCAACCCCTCTGGTATAATCGGGGCAAGGGAGAGGAGTAGGCTGTCATTTGATTTTGATGATAGCAGGATTACACTGCAGCTAGGCCGGCCGGCCTACGATGATCCTTCCATGCAAGAGGGGGAATAATAGGCTTGAGGGGATATTTGAGCCGACTCAATCTGGTTGGTGAGAAGAGTAGGCTATTTGAGACACATAAGAGCAGGATTACCCTGCGGCTAAGCAGGCTGACCCACGACGATCCTTCTTTGCGAGAGGCAGGACAATAGGGGGTGAGGGGATTTTTGAGTTGGCTCGACTCAAAATCGGCTGGTGAGAACACGATTACAGAAGTTCAGTCCATGCAGGCCGGCCTATGACGATCCTTCCATGAAAGAGGGGGAACACTGGTTTCGGATGGGATAAAGCTCTTATTGCCTATGATTGTTGTATATGACAGTTTATATATATATATATATATATATATATATATATATATATATATAGTTGCTGCCCATTACATCGTTGACACGATGTGCTTCATTGCGTATGGTCTCAGTTTGGAATGGTTGTGCTTCATTGCGTATGGTCTCAGTTTGGAATGGTTGTGCTCAGGGCTGATTTTATCAGGGTAATTACCCTGATTTCAGGGTGATTTCAGACTTTCCACTTTGCGGAGACTGAGATTTCAGAATTACTGAGGGTACATTCCGCTGTGGACACATGTCCCAATCGATGTGTCCCAATCGTTTCTACCGCACTGCATCGTATTACACCGAATTGCACCCTAATTTCGAAATTTTCGCGTCTCTGGTTTAGTTCGGTTCGGAGCGGTACACTCGATTGGGACACGTCGATTGGGACGTGTGTCCACAGCGGAATGCACCCTGAGTTCTCAACCCTGTTCAAATCAGAGTACTAGTTTTCCTATCCCTGATTTTGAGTACAGTGTAACAGACTAGCCTGTTAGTGGACCCTGACTTAATAGGGTATCGAATCTGTGGTCCCTGATTTTGATCTTATCGAGAGGAAGGTTCTTGGAAATTTCCTTCCGATATCCCCCTTCGGTTTGATCGCAGTACAGCCAGCGCGTGAGCAATGGACAGAAGCATGTCTGACAGGCGAGTACACTCGATGTCTGTTATGTTCATGAAATGCGAATAAGTTGTTCCACTGTCGTAAGTGCGTGTGCGTAAAGTTTCCAGAACCAGTTTTGCGTTTCGCACAGCAATGTTGGCCACATTCAGGTATCGAATCGAAATGTTTGGTTGAGCGAAATCGCTCATCTCTTCCCCCCCACTAAAACGTGTGCATAAATACCATTTCATAACACTAAAATGGTGGAAATTAGCGCGCTCAAAGTGTGCGCGAAACACAGAGCGCTAACTTAACGCAGAGGGAGACTTTTTCCCCTGTAACAAAGAGCGTGTTACTACTCTGATCCTCGATTTTCGACCCTGAACAATCAGAGTTGTATACTTATCAACCCTGAGCAATCAGAGTAGCATTATTCTGAAAAATGTGCACTCATAATAGAGGGGAATTTTTTTCCCCGGAATCAGGGAGGCCTAATATGAAACGTCAGCCCTGGTTGTGCTTCATTGCGTATGGTCCAGGGCTGACGTTTCATATTAGGCCTCCCTGATGTTACGAATAGTAATATTCGATATTTACTGAGCACTCCTCACCGTAGCAAGGAGCGGACAATATCGGGGAACGAACGCAAGCGTCAGACGGTTGGAATTGAGTCAAAGAGTCGGACGGTTACAGCACATCTGAACCGTCGGAAGCAAACGGCATCGGACAGCTGCATGCAGGAGGGTTTTGGCAGGAACAGTTACGAAACTGTACGCGCCGAACGGTTGGGATGCATTTGAATAAGGGAATGTACCCCTTAGAGTACATGGCTATTTAGGTCGTTTCGAATTCCCTTGTACTCATATTTATATCGTTGTATTTGCATGTTTTTATTATCTCAAGCATCTTACATTCACTCTGCTATTGAGGTCAAGGGCCCACCAACACTACTTCACTGCGTGCGAACCTACCAGAGTAGATCCTAGGCTACGATCAACTTCTGATCTCAGCATGGTATGAGAGCGACGCTAGAATGTTTCGCACCGTCACTGCCGAAATTTACGACACCTGGAAAGTGGCGACCGGCACACGATCACGCACGAGGATGGCCTGAGGATCTGGTGGTCAGACTAATATGACGGCTGAAGCACAACCCAACCCGGCTGCGACAAGCGGGAACACGACGACAATCGACTCCGACGTTCTCGCACAACTTCTTGAGCGACTTACCAGCTTGGAGCAAGGACTCCAAACATTGTGAAACGGCGATGCGGGAACTTCATCGCAACCCCCTCAACC